TGTAGAGTTAATGCAATTTAGGAGCACTTGAATGGCCATGGGCCAATGCTATGGAATTGGGAGATCTATAGTATAGTGAGGCACCAGCACTATTGGCAGAGAAGACCTTGGAAGATTACTTCTCCCATGATTCCATAGCACTGAGTCATGGGAGTGGTGTCAAACTGCATTATTTCTTTAGTGTAGATGCACTCTGAATTGACAACACTGAACTAAATGGACAAATTGTGTCTGATTCTGTATAAGGGAGCTTCCTGTGTCACTGTGAATAGCAACGACTCTCCAATGTTTGAAGCAGAGATCTTTCAGTACCCGAGATATGGCACTGGCCGGGAATGTATGCTTGCATTGCCAGTTGCTGTGTTGATCCCTGACAATCCAAACAGATTTCCAATCGTCACACAGATAAATGTGGGTATTGTTGCATAAAAACAGCAACTTTACATTAATTATATTTTATATTTCCACCTAAACACCAGTGTAATGCTGCCATCACCGCTAGTAAAAGCTACTTGGGAGCATTCTTAAGCTGCAGTAGGCTGCTAATGAATGACTGTGTACTTAAGTGTAGAGGTGCAGTAAAATAGCTACACTAGTAGGCAGTAATAGTGGACACAGGATGGTGAGATAAAAGGAAGATAGTGGAGGGACTTCTTCTGAATGGAACTCAAAACAGTTCTGTTTTCCTATTTAGGAATTAAAAAACAAAAAAATCAAGCAATTGTATTGGACAAGGTACAAATAAGGTTTAGACAGTAAAAATAACAAAAAAAATAAAACTGCAGTGGTTTGAACATTGGACTATGACTCTAGGGTTCAAATCAGGGTTCAAATCCCTGCTTAGCCATGGAAACCCACTGAGTGATCTTGGGTAAATCACGCTCTCAGCTTCAAAGGAAAACAAAGGCAAACCTCTTTAAACAAACCTTGCCAGGAAAACCCCATAAGTCAGAAATTACTCAAAGGCACACAACAATAAAGCTTCTATGAAACATTGCCACTTTTTCTACTCTCGTGACAATTTATATCATAATAACATTTCCCCTAGTCTCTACAAGTCACTTTGAGGTTAAACTCTACTTGGTTTGGGATAAAGCATTTTCATTGCCAGACATATATTAATTTGCTTATCTATGCTGCATGTATTTTTAATGTGTGTGTGTGTGTGTGTGTGTGTGTGTGTGTTAAAATACTGTTGCAATCATCTGCTTTTTTTTCTATTGCATTTACATGATCTCGCCCTGCCCCAGCATGCATATCAATAAGATACCTACTGGAGCTACATTCCTTGCAGCTAATGGAAGTGGGCTAGACTCTGTGAAAGTTTATGCAAAACAAAAAAACAAAACAAAACCCAAAAACAAAAAGGAGGGCTGGTCTAGTTTCAGGGTCATTACTGATGAAACTTGCACCTAGTTGATCATGAAATTGAAGTACCTTACAAAGAAAATACTTTGACTTTTGAGTTTTTTAGATACCACCTTGAGTTCATTAGAAGATGAGAAATAAATAAATAAATAGATGCAAAACACTTATTCAGCAGGAAAGCCCCATCAATAACAACAACAACAACAACAACCTTATTTATACCCTTCCACCATCTCCTTGAGGGACTTGAGGTGGCTCATAAAGCACTCAAAGCAAACAAGCAATATACAAAAAGTGCAAAGACAACACAGCAACAACCAACATAAACATCACATCAAAGCATCATCCAAGCCAAGAGAAGTAAATAGAACCACTATACTTCCAGATAATATTACTCTGAATATAAAATCCAGAAGTTTTGAATACTCTGGAAGCATTTGAGTTGTAATTTCTGTAACTGAATCCTAAACATTAGGACTGACATTTTGTCACCTGGGAGAAGTGACCATCCTAGTTTAAACTGTGTCAAGTCAACAGGGAGTGTTAAACTATTCTGAGATTGACAATAAGAGCGCCTTTACTTTCTTGGAAACTGCGAAGTTTTAATGAAATACTGGAATAATAGGAGGACTAGATTTTTTTAAAAAAAAATATTGTCATTATTGTTCAGATCATATCTTGAACCCTCAAGGCAGAGCCTAGCGGGAGGGGGGGGGGGTACTGGTTAAACCAGTTGCACTAAGTTCAACTTTTTCCCATGGAGAACAGAAAATGAAAGATGGAATTGCTAGCAAACCCTTACATTAAGGTGGATGGAAGGTAGTTCAAAATGGAGAAGTAAATCATTAAATGAGAGTCAGTGTAGTGCAGTAGTTTGGACTAGGGGTGAATCAACATTGTAGAATTAATGCTGTTTGACACTACTTATTACAAAAAATACTATTATTAGAAATACTAACATTGTAATGTAATAGTGCTGGTATAATATATGTAATATTCATAATGTTATAATATAATATTTTGTATATACTACAACTTAAGGTAGGTACAATATATTATATAATACTAATAGTATAATGTACTGTGTTATATATATTGTGGTATAATAATATAGTACAATATAATATATAATAATATGATAATTGCATATTATATATTACATATATAACCAGTAATATTGCAGTATAATGTGTTATTTTTTATGTAGATGTGGATTTGTTTTTGGGACTTGAGGGGTTGGTTATTTTTGTCTTTGTTCAGCTTCTCATGGCATTGAACATTTGCCAATATCTGTTATAAACCACCCTGAGTCCCCTTGGGGAGATAGGGCGGGATAGAAATAAAGTATTATTATTATTATTATTATTATTATTATTATTATTATTATTATTACTTTAATTGCCATGACCCGATGCTATGGCATCCTGGGAGTTTTAGTTTGGTGAGGCACCAGCATTCTTGAATAGAGAAAGTTAAAGATCTTGTAAAACTCCCACTCTCATGATTCCATTGCAGTCAAAATGGGGTCACACTGCATTAATGAACCCCCTTGGGGAGATAGATACAATTAAAATATTATTATTAATTCTACAGTGTGTTGATGCCCCCCAAGATACTGGGAAACCAGGGTTCAAATCCTCACTTTGAATAGGCGCCTACACTGTAGAATACTCACTCTTTCTCAGCCTCAATAAAAGGAAAGGCAAACCCATTTTGAACAAATCCTAACCAGAAAATCCCATGATAAGGTCACCATAAATCACATCAAGAGCAACCAAATCCTGAAATGTGTCTTTCAATTGTCTTGTTTTTATCTATGCACAGTAGACTTCAGGGCCCTTCCACAGAATATCAAGGCAGAAAATCCCACAATATCTGTTTTGAACTGGGTTAGCTGAGTCCACACTCAGATAATGTATGATTTCCTGCCTTGATATTCTGGGATAGCTGGAATATCAAGTAGAAAAGAGACATGAGAGATTACTACATAGAATCATAGAATCATAGAATCAAAGAGTTGGAAGAGACCTCATGGGCCATCCAGTCCAACCCCCTGCCAAGAAGCAGGAATATTGCATTCAAATCACCCCTGACATATGGCCATCCAGCCTCTGTTTAAAAGCTTCCAAAGAAGGAGCCTCCACCACACTCCGGGGCAGAGAGTTCCACTGCTGAACGGCTCTCACAGTCAGGAAGTTCTTCCTCATGTTCAGATGGAATCTCCTCTCTTGTAGTTTGAAGCCATTGTTCCGCGTCCTAGTCTCCAAGGAAGCAGAAAACAAGCTTGCTCCCTCCTCCCTGTGGCTTCCTCTCACATATTTATACATGGCTATACATGATATTCTGGGATAAAGGGCTGTGTGGAAGTGCCCTAGTTTATATGGCTGTGTGGAAGACCCCTTAGTTACTGTGTTTCACTATTGAGTCAATACAGAGTTGTGGGTATGCTACAATATGGGGTACAGTATTAATTATTTAGGCCTGTTTTTAATACTTACTCTCAAGCAACCCGAAACTACATTGATCCGACATCCATGGTTAGAGTCCGTTATTTGTTTCCAAAAGGTACTAAAAATAAATTTAAAAAATGAATGCTCAGACTATCAAGGCAGGAAATATCACAATCTCTGCTTTGAACTGGGTTATCTGAGTCCACACTGCCATATATTCCAGTTCAAAGCAGATAATGTGGGGTTTCCTGCCTTGATATTCTGGGATATTCTGTGGAAGGGCCCCCAGAATATGAAAGCAGGAAATCCCACATTATCTGAGTGCAGACTCATGGCCCTTCCACACAGCTCTATATCCCAGAATATTTTATTTATTTATTATTTATTTGTGACATTTATATGCTGCCCTTCTCATCCCGAAGGAAGGAAGGAAGGAAGGAAGGAAGAAGGGAAGGAAGGAAGGAAGGAAGGAAGGAAGGAAGGAAGGAGAAAGAGGGAGGGAAAGAAAAAGGGGGAAGGAAGGAAAGTTCGAAAAGGAAGGAGAGAAGGAAAGAAAAAGGGAAAGGAGGAAGAGGAGGGAGCAAAGGAAGGGGGAAGATGTAGAGAAAGAGGGAGGGAAGGAAAGAAGGAAGAGAAGGAAGAAAAGAGAGACAGCAGAAGAGCAAGAAAAAGGGGGAAGGAAGGAAAGAGATAGAGAAGGAAAAGAGGGAAGGTTGGCCACAGCAATGCGTGGCGGGTACAGCTAGTAATATTATAAATATTATATGTATATACAATATAATATATTATATATATTAGCATAGCAAAGGAGACAAGGTGGAACTGTCCCCTGGCCTCCCTTGTCCTGACTCTGGCTCAGAGCGGCGTTATCCAAGCAGAAAATCCTACCATAGCTGCTTTGAACTGGGTTATCTGAATCCACACTGAAGCTGAGATAATGTTTTCTGTCTTAGTATTCTGGGATATAGGGCTGTGTGGAAGGGTCCAGACTCTTGCCCCATCGACAGAGCCAGGGGGAGGAAAACACTCTGGACATGCCTAAGGGCTGCAAGGGAATAAAGCCAAGCCAAAGGAAATGAAACCAGACAGTCTCCCTCGGAGACGAGACGGCCTCCGCCTAGACCTGCGCCGCTGCCGCCGCCTCTTCTCCAGTTCCCGTCGCCACCCCTTGGAGAGGCGGAGCAGGGCGGGCCCGGCAGCAGAGGCCGCAAGAGCAGGAGGAACACCTGGCCCAGGTGAGCGAGCCAGCGAGGGAGCGAGGCGCGCCGCGGAGGCCCTGCTGCTGCAGCCCAGGCCAGGAGCACAGGAGAGGTGAGCCTTGCCCGGAGAAGAAGCCCCTCTCCCTCCCTCCCTCCCTCCCTCCCTCTCGCATTGCCACTAAAACTCTCCCCTGAAGTTCTGTCTACCTGTAAGAATTCGCCTCTCTTCCTCCTCCTCCTTCCCCAAGGCCTTCATGGCTCTGAGAAAGGAGTTGAAGGTGCGTCTGCTTTCCTCCTCCTCTTCTAGCTTTACTGGACATCTTGACACTTTCAAACTTCATGTAAAACTTTGTCCGGCTCTGTCTTGGTTCGCGTGGGTGTTGAAAGTTTCTCTTTTCCTGGCTTCGCCTGGGAACCCTTTCCCTCCCAAGGTCTTCACGCCCAAGGATCTCAACTCACCTCCATTGCTTCTGGCCTGGTCAAGACTCGCCCTGGGTTGGTATATACAATGCACTTCGAGACCACTTTCACTGCCATGGCACTTGAACTGCCTGGGAGGTCAAGGTCTGGTCAAGACGTACTTAGGCAGAGAAGGCTACTAGAGCTTGTAAAACTATAACTCCCATGAGTAAATGAATAGTATTGAGCTCTGGCAATCAAAGTGGTCTCAAACAGCATTCATTCTACAGTGCAGAGCAAGCATGGGCAAACTTAATAAGAATAAGAATAAGAATAATAATAATTTAATTTTTATACCTTGCCAACCATCTCCCCAAAGGAACTCAAGGCAGCTTATAAGGGACAAGCCCAAAAATTACAGATAACACACAATCAATTAAAAACATCAGATAAAATATAATACAATCACAATTGTAAACAACATCAAAACTATATGGCTGAGAAAAAGAACATAGCTGAGGAACAGATTCAGTGAGTACAATACATTCTGAAGGAGAACAAGGAAAGTGCAACAAACAAGTAGGCAGGGCAGGGGGTACTGTCATCAAAAAGTGCTAAGGTGGATGATAAGAGGGCCGACGTAAAGTGCTGAAATTAAAGTAGGGGCAGGAAAATTACTAGTGGACTGCTTAATCAAAAGCACACCGGAATATCTAGGTTTTTAGTTGTCTCTGGAAAGAAGACAAAGTAGGAGCCTGTCTGATCTCCCTAGGGAGGGAGTTCTAGAGCTGGGGGGCCACCACTGAGAAGGCCATCTCCCTCGTCCCCACCAACCGTGTTGGGAGAGAGAGCAGTGCCTCCCCGGATGATCTCAAGGTACGTACTGGTTCATAGGGGAAGAGGCTCCCTAGGTGTTTTGGAGGTTAACTCCCACCATTCCTAGAAGTCTCAGGTCCCTAGAATCATAGAATTGGAAGTGACCTCATGGGCCATCTAGTCCAACCCCCGGCCAAGAAGCAGGAAAATTGCATTCAATACACCCTCGACAGATAGCCATCCAGCCTCTGTTTAAAAGCCTCCAAAGAAGGTGCTTCCACCACACTCCCCCAGCCACTCAGGAAAGGGAAAAGGAAAGGGCCCAAGGCTGTAAGGAATGGTGGGAGTTGAACTCCAAAACACCTGGAGGGCCCAAGTTTGCCCATGCCTGGTGTAGCAGCACCCAATGTTGGTAAGAGACAGTGCGGCTTAGAATTGAATGTTTGACTGTGATTCTGGAGGCCAAAGCCACTGGGGCCCCTTCCACACAGCTGAATAAAATCCCACATTATCAGCTTTGAACTGGGATATATGGTAGTATGAACACAGATAACCCAGTTCAAAGCAGATATTTTGGGCTATTCTGCCTTGATATTCTGGGTTATATGGCCATGTGGAAGGGTCCTGGGTGACCATGGCCAAGTCACACTCTCTCCGCCTCAGAGGGAGGCCAGAGCAAACCTCTTCAGAACCAGTCTGTGACAGGGTCTCCTTAGGGTCGCAATAGGAAGGAAATAACTTAGGCACACAATGTTGTTGGGCGGCTTCAGAGTATTTAGGAACACATTTCCAAGGGGAAGTTGCCCAAAATTACGCCTTTGCATTGAGGTTTAAAGTAAGCTAAACTGTAGACATGGGTTTGTTTGTTTTAAGGCAATTGCCCCCCCCCCTTTTTTTTCTGTTGGTAGGTGTTGACTGGATGTCAACACTCTGCAGTGCTTTAAATCAATGGATGAGAACCAGACTAATGATCTTGGATTGGCAACTTGGATGTGATGAGAGCATATAGTATTGTTGCCTTGATGTAGCTCTGGTGATGTTCCTTAGTCATAAAACTCAGACCCCTTTCACAAAGCTGAATAAAACCCCACATTATCTGCTTTGAACTGGGATATATGGCATTGTGAACTCAGATATTCCAGTTCAAAGCAGGTATTGTGGGTTATTCTGCTTTGATATTCTGGGTTATATGGCTGCATGGAAGACCCTCTGTTGTCTGAATTGATCCAGCTTTAAAACGCAGGAAGATGTGGCTATGCAGTTTAGACCATTACTTCATCCATCTCAGCTGTTCTTGACCAAGGGCCCTTCCACACAGTCATATAACCCAGGATATCAAGGCAGAAAATCCCACAATATCTGCTTTGAACTGGGGCCCCTTCCACACAGTTAAACAAAATCCTACATTTTCTGCTTTGGACTGGAATATATGGCAGTGTGGACTTAGATAACCCAGTTCAAAGTAGATATTGTGGGATTTTCTGCCTTGGTATCCTGGGTTATATGGCTGTGTGGAAGGGCCCTGGGTTATCTGAGTCCACACTGCCATATATTCCCATTCAAAGCAGAAAATGTGGGATTTTATTCAGCTGTGTGGAAAAGGCCTTTGGGACATTCCACACAGCCCTAAGTCCCAGAATATCAAGGTAGGAAATCCCACATTATCTGAGTATGGACTCAGATAACTCAGTTCAAAGCAGATATTCTGGGATTTTCTGCCTTGATATTCTGGAATATAGAGCTGTATGGAAGGACCCTAAGTTTCACCTGGAAATGCTAGACCTTGATTCAAGAGCTTCTGCTGGTATTTTCCTTTTCTGCCACTCAACTCCAGCCCTTCCCAGGCTGCAAATTATTTCCATATTGTTGCAACATAATTGGGAATATAGATGTTTAAGCGTTAAAACAGAAATAAGGATGTAATAAAGGTGGAGAACTTTTGACCTTCCACAGAATGTTGGATTCCAAGTCCCATCAGTCAAAGCCACTATGATCCGTTACAAGGAATGATGAAAGCTGTAGTCTGGCACAATTTGTGTTATTCCAGGCTATTCACAGAACAAAATGAAGAAATTCTGGGTTGCATTTCTTCCCTTATCTGATTAATTTATGATAGATTGGCCTAGTGCATTCATGAAAATCCCAGACTTACATGTTTTGCTTTCAAACTACAGTTGGCTCTAAGTATCTGCTAGGGTTTTTAATCCAGAACCCTCAGAAATGCCAAAATCCTTGGATCTATTGTATCCAGTGGTTTAGTAAAATGATGTCCCTTATATAAAATGGCAAAGCTGAGGTTTGCCTTTTGGTTAAAAAAAACAAAACACCAAAAAACATTTCAAGCTTTGGATGGCTGAATCCATGGATGCAGAATCAGTGGATACCAGAGGTAATACACCTCTTTTCATGTGTTAATTGAAAAGTGTGATGCAAATTGATTAAACTAGATTAGTTTCATTATGAAAAAGAATGAAGTGAACAAACTGGTTTTAAAGGTGAGATCAGGTCTATACAAACCCATTTCAAAAGAGTTGTAAACTTTTGTTTTCTCTGACCCATTCCTGAAAGAGTTATCATGGGGAAAAGGTGTCTCCACTGAAGCTTTACTGCCAATCCTTGTTTCAAAAACAAGATAATTTTTTCAAAATCGAATTATCACAGGGACTGAAAGTGAGGTGAAATCTCCTGAACAGGGGCACAGACAGCAAAACAAATACCACAGGGTTGTTTACCCTTCCCTATGCTAGCCAAAGATTTTATATCTGTCTGTCTATCTATCTTTGACTTGAGTTATACTTAAAAATGTACCTGTTCTGGCTTACAAATAAATTCAACTTAAGAACAAAGCTACAGAACCTATCTTGCTCGTAACTTGGGGACTGACTGTACTGTATTGCTTTCCTGAAGGCAGATCTTTCACGTGATATCCACAATTGGTAATGTACATACATTTTACCTGTGTGGTTCTGTTTGTATCTTGTCTAATGCTGACTGGCTGCCTACGATTCATTCTTCTCTCTTGTACTTTCAGAGAAAGAAGTTTTAGGGGTTGTTTCTAAGTTATAGCACTTGGTACCAGTTCTTATTTTGATGTGATACATTTTGTTTCAGTTGTGTAATGAACAGCACAAAGTAAAAATGCTGGAGTAAATTAGTAATGTATTTCTAGAAAGTCGTGAAACCCAGTATAGTATTAGGGAAAGGGATTATATGTGCTAAATTAGTATTAATGCCACTTTCTACAGTTACCCCAATTAAATTCAAGTAAGTGATATTAGTGACTTCATATGACTATCATACAGTTTCTACCAGCAATTGTTCTCTGATGTATTTTTTCCTACTACGGGGGTATTGGTACCATATTTATGCTCATATTTTGCCATTGTTTATTTCTCAGGCACTCCAAGTGGCCAGCTTCTGTTCAAAGGACATTTAGCATAATGCCAAGTTTTTAAACTTTATTTGTGTTTTTAAATACTTGTTAACTGTACCCTCAACTCATTTCTTACACAATAAATAAATAAATTTATCAGAATTTCACTGCAGACAAACAATAGCTAGTGGACTGGCATTGGTTCAAGAACCACAACTTTGGGTAGCTAAGTTCTAGAGGTGCTACATTTAGCCCTGATGTGAAACCTTGTTGCCCAATAATCTGTTTTTCTTTTCTTTTCTGATATGGGGTTTGGTTTCCCCCTGCTTATTCTCTGAGATGGTATATTTTGTCAATTCTTTCAATCATTCTGCAAACCTATGAGGAGAAGAGCTTGAAAATTGAAATTTCCATACCTTCTTACACCCCCAATATCTTATTATGTGTATTTCAGGTTTATTTTTAAGTTCAAAGATAGAGGCAGATTTCTAACTCCACCATATGCAGAGTTAGGTGTACCTAAA